CTGCGATTCTCTCTCTCTCTCTCTCTCTCTCTCTCTCTCTCTCTCTCTCTCTCTCTGTGTGTGTGTGTGTGTGTGGTGTGTGTGTGTGTGTGGGGAGGGGAGGGCTGTTGTCTGTGTTTATGTGTGTGTGTGTGGCTGGCTGTGATTTTTCCTACAAGTCCTTGTCTCTAAGTCCTTGTCTTTTTGCATAACAATTTTGCATAACAATATTTTTAAATGACAAAATAGGCATATAACCCCCATCTTTTAAATGTATAGATTGCTTTAAATAAAAGTAAGATTGTATTTGTAATTGAAGTTGAATGAATTTAAAATTCATGTGCTATATTTCAATATATTTGTTTTCCTTAAGATTTTAAAACACTAACTTCATTCTTATCTGAATTACAAATATTTGTTTCTGTATAAAATAATACTCTGACTAAAAACACATTTGATGTTTTTTTTTGGTATTTTTATTTACATGTATTTATGTGTGTGTGTGTGTGTGTGTGTGTGTGTGTGTGTGTGTGTGTGTGTGTGTGTGTGTGTGTATAAAGCGCAGGGTTTTTTTTAGATAAAGTAGAATTTCTATAACTATGTGTTGAACTAATAAATCACTCTTGTGTGTGTTAAACACAATCTACTTAATACAGACAACTTCATTATAAAGATAAATAACAAATCCAAAAAATATATGATTATAATCTATGACAAAAAAAGCCATTACAAACTATATTATTGAAAAATACACATTGCTCTTTGTATTGTTGTAAAATATTCATGAAAAACAAGATAACAAAAATCAAAAAGATAAATTATTTTAGATATAGCCATGTTTTAAATGTATAGCAGAGATGTTAATTGAGGCAGCAACATACAAACTTTCTAGAACAACATGGACCTGGATAGCTGGTTTTTATGGAGGACAGTGAAGAGGAAGAGGGTGCAAATCAAACAGCTCATTCTCAGACTACACAGCAAACAGCTTAAGTTTTTAGTGCTTTGTTTGAGGTTTTTAGTGCTCTGTCCTATCTATTATCAACATATAATAGATGGAACAGAACAAGAAAGGCAATTAATAATCTGTCATTGCGTCACTGCATTATGATATGAAAGGCTCAGTACAGTGTGGCACAAAATGCTTATGCGCATCCCGAGTGGAGAATGATGCGCTTAAAGCCACATGGAGTTACAGCGCACAGCGCATCGAGTCCGCATTGATGCAAGCTCTACAATACACTTCTTTTTGATAGTCAAAGCGGGGGTTACGTTTTTACACGTCGTACAGAATAACCCTAAAGGCACCAAGGTGGCGGTGCCACCGGCTTTATATTAAATATAAATATAGCTGTGAGCAGCGATAAAGGGCCAAAGCCGGCGGTACCACCATCCCGGTGCCTTTGGGTAACTAAAGGCATCGGGGTTGCGGTGCCACCGGCTTGGGCCCGCAATCGCTGCTCGCAGCTATATTTATATTTTACCTGTTGATTTTCTTTGAGGATCGAATTTCTTTTCTTTTTCTCTCTGTTCTCCCCTGTTGTCTTTAGCTCCTTTCTCAGATTTCATGGCTACTTATTCTCACCATTCACTCTTTGCTATCGTCATTCCTCGTTGTTCTCTCAGACTATGATACCTCTCTTTTAGCCACACAGAGAGAAGGAAGAGCATAAAGAGAAGCGAGGTGAGGCAGATGCCTGCACTTCCTCGAGGAGGCAGAGACGAGTTGGCACGAGAGGAGCAAGTGTCTAGTCGGAGGGTGAGTCACTACAACATGCATCCTGCATCACCAACCCTTGATCACATGACGTAATCTGCATCATCGCAAGGCGTGTGAGTCTGTGGTCAGATCTCTCCCACACAACATCACTGACATGATTTAGTGGTATCTGATCATATATAACAAGACTCTGCTTGTCATATCATAAATGTCACATGAGAATATTCTCATAATTTACTAATGAAATTCTTAAAGGAGTAGTTCACTTTTTAAAAAAAAACTTTTGCTGATAATTTACTCACCCCCATGTCATCCAAGATGTCCATGTCATTCTTTCTTCAGTCGAAAAGAAATGAAGGTTTTTGATGAAAACATTCCAGCATTTTTCTCCATATAATGCACTTCAGTGGGAACCAAACGGTTCAAGGTCCAAAAGACACTTTCAATACAAACTGCAAACTGTTCAAAGGGCTTTAAACGATTCCAGACGATGAATAAGGGACTTATCAAGCGAAACGATCGCTTGTTAAATAAATAAATAACAAAGTTTAAGTTTTATAAGCCCAAATGCTCGCCTTGCTCTGTTCTGTGACGCACGTTTGTGACTCTCCTGTTCGAACTCGTTCATCAAAATGAACAAATCTTTTTCCAAGTTATTTGGTTCATTCAACGAACGAAACGAACAAATTGACTCGGAAAAAGCTTCTTTTGGACCTTGAACCATTTGGTTCCCACTGAAGTGCATTATATGGAGAAAAATGCTGGAATGTTTTCATCAAAAACCTTCATTTCTTTTCGACTGAAGAAAGAAAGACATGGACATCTTGGATGACATGGGGTGAGTAAATTATCAGCAAAAGTTTTTTTTAAAAGTGAACTACTCCTTTAAGAATTTCATTGGTAAATTATGAGAATATTCTCATGTGACATTTATGATATGACAAGGCTTTTTGAAAAGTTTTTTCAAAAGTGAACAACTCCTTTAAATGTCTAGTTGTTGAATAAAGCTCAATAAAGAGTTTCTGAATTATATTTCCTGTTCATTTTTCTTTGTAGATATTTAAGGACGTTCTACCGATTAACATAATGAATAAATAATTCATCTGCTCATTATTGTATAGCTCTTTCATTAAGCCAATCTTACTTAGGCTTACTAGGCAAACATCACTTTCATAATTCATATTTACAAACAGGACATTGAGCTTAGTAGCACATAAATCAGCATATGTCCTAATATATATATTCTAAATATTTTATAACTACTTTCATCAATAACATTTAGAAACATTATGTAAATCTTATGTATGCATATGTTGGTAATATAGATTATATATTTAAAGTATGTTTACATTGGTAAAATAATTGAAAGTTTAATTCCATATTTCAGGTTTAAATGTCACCACTAAAATATATATTTTGGACACTTTGAATTCCATTATTACTTTCTGAGATTTACTATTATCTATCATGGTACAGAACTGGTGCCGCATAATTAAACTTTTAAAATCAACTAACAAATGTTTTTTTCTTTTTGCAGAAACAACTGGAAGACTACCTAAACAAGCTGCTGAGGATGGCAATGTACCGAAAATACTACGCCACCGTAAGCTCACACTTGATTATAGAGTTCAGGCCCTGATGTAGCTTGCGTTGAGTTATCTTTAATGAAGCAGCAGCATGAGGATCGATATTACAGATGGAGACTGTGTGTCCTGTGTGTGTTAATGTGCAGCTTTTTCTCTCAGCTCACTGCTATTCCAACAGCTTTAATCAAGGACATACGTAATTCTCTCTCTCTCTCCCTCTTCTCAAATTCCCTCTCTTCCTCTTTAATACCCCCCGGGGGTCAATATAGCTGAGGATTTAGTGTAACTTCTTTTAATTGAAGCTGCGTCTCTGTCTCACTAGTTTTAAGAAGAATTGTTTCTCTTTTCCAGATGGAGTTTATTGATATAAGCCAGTTGTCCTTCATTCAGGACTTGGGCCCAAAAGGCTTGTATGGACACACTCTTTTTGCTTTACTGTTTTATTATTGCCTCACACTTATCAATTTATTCATTTTAATGTTAAAATATATTGCATAAAGTAAACAAAACTTTATTTAATTAGGCTTTCTGAATTAGTTTTTTTTTTAATATTTATTGATTTATTTTTACATTGTGACAATAGTTTCAATTAAGCATGTTAAACATAAATTCTTTAATGTGCAACACATTACCATAATGTGTCAGGATGTTTTTTTCTGGATGCGTGCCTGACAAATCACAAATGTTTCTATGATGCATACTGTAAATGCCAAAAGTCATGAGAATTTGAGAGTCGAAATGCTTGTCATGAAAATGTCACCATGCAAAAATATGTGATGCTTTTTTGCAACATCTATTATCTGATTTAGTATCTGAAATAGGACACAAAATTCTTAATGGATTTCATGATATTCACCCTTTAACTCACTCATACAAACCTGTATCTTTCAGAGAAGGCATTGTTTACAAAAGGTCAGGAGGTCACCGTATACCAGGTATGAACTGCTGTGGCCGCAATGAAGTCTGCTACCGCTGGTCTAAGAGGTAAATTCACAAGAGCTGATGAAATGCATTCATGGAGTGAAGCTGCACTCTTCACTTTGAGCTTTAACATTTGCGAGACACTCTTTAAAAGCAGTGTTATCTGTGAAAATACACAATTCAGATAGAACGGGCACACACACGCACCATAAAGTCTCTTCGAGCAAGCTGTTTATCTCTGCTCCACTGATACCGTGCTACTTTCGTTCTCTGATTAAACTGACACTGTATCACTGGCTTTCACTGCTCTCGGTATAATAATGCTTTAGAGAAGCATACTTAAGGTTAAGTTTGACCTTATGGTTGTGATGGAGTCACATTGATGAAATGATGAAATCTTTTGTGCTCTCTGTTTAGGTGGCTTGTTGTGAAGGACTCTTTTCTGGTGTACATGAAGCTAGACTCTGGTGCCATTTCCTTTGTCCTGCTGGTGGACAATGAATTCAGCATCAAAATGGACTCCAAACAGACAGACACCAAGCATGGAGTGAGCATTGAGAACCTGTCCAGGTGTGTTCACTTAATCTCAAATTTAATTATAACTTGTATACGTCCCTCTAAGCTTGTAGACAATTTATGTTTGTTTGTGTGTCTTGTGCAGGAAACTAGTTCTGAAATTTAACAGCTACAGACATGCACGGTGGTGGGGTCAGGCCATTGAAAGCTTTGTCCGGAAACATGGCAAGGCCTTTTTAAGGTCCCACCGCTTCGGATCTTTTGCCAGGGAGGAGGAGACATACCCTCTAAATGGTATATTTAATCTAAGAGTTCACCCAAAAATAAACACACACATCATTTATTCACCCTCATGTTGTTTCAAACCTGTATGACTTTCAGATCACAATGGGTTTTTTATTGACCATGCAATGAATAACAATGGGGTCCAATGTTATACAATTGAACAGTCATACAGCTTTTTAACAACATGAGGGTGAGTGAATAATGACAGATTTTTCCTTTTAAGAGTGAGACTGTGTCCAATGTCATGTTTAGCTTTCTATTTGACCCTCTACTCTTTGAAATCTGACAACTAAAGAAAAAGAAATTCAATTGTCCAGGTATGTGAATGGCAAAACCTACATGGAGGATGTTGCAAATGCGCTGGAGGAGGCCAAAGAGGAGATCTTCATTACAGACTGGTGGTATGTACTCGCTGTTTATCCTTCTAGAAGAAAACATGTTCAGGCAGACAGATCTTGGGCCAACTCACACTATTTGTTGAGCCAATGTTACTGTTCAATGTTACACTTCAACAAACAGAACAGTGTTTTGATAACTTCACAAAGTCACTGTGTTTGCATTTTTCTGGGAAATCAACCTATAAATAGATTGTGTAGTTGTCCGTCCATGCTCATTTTAGTGAGACAAATCATCGCCGGATGATTTTTTTTAAAAATCCTTCATAGTTCTTTGTATAAGTTTAAATAGTATAGTCAACTAGGATACTTGTTTAGTGTGAAATGGTTATGCAAGAAAAGAGCCACAGTTATCTGTCAAAGATTGACTGGATTGATTAGTATCTGCCATGAATGAAAAATGCACTCTTTAATCTGATATGAAATGGTATTTTGTTTATTTCTCTTTGTTTGGTAATGCTCTGCAGTAGCATTGCTATAGACATTACATGCCCACATGCAGAATTTGTGGCAGCGGATCAGGGGCTCAGAGTGGGAGGTGTATGCTATACAGCAAGACCGGTATCTCTTGCTTTACTGGTGTCAAGTTTCAGTCTTCCTTATTTAAAAAATATCACTCCTGGAATAGACTCAATGATCTTCTGTGTGTGAGGGAGCAGGTGGTTATATAAAAAATCACTGCCTATTTAAATGTCTTTTCATGTAGTTTTACTTGTAGAATGTTAAAAGTTTAAACATTTGATTTATGTCTGCATGAAAACTATTTTATTGGCATTCACTTTAAAAATGGAGCCAGATCTAAATGTGAGTTTGCAATTCATTATGACTTTGACTTATTCCCTTTGCATTTAAATGTGACTTATGACTATTACCTTCCTAAAACACTTGACGACTTGGCGTTTGGTTGCATCTTAAACAGCAGAGCAATTATATTTGAAAGATATATTGTTTTACTTATTAAAATAAATTACATATTTTTTTATGAGTGGTGTGCACAATGATAACAGGAACATGTATTAAAAAAGTAAGCTGTGTCCATTTTGATTTCATGTAGATTTTAAAGTAGGTATGCTTGTGCTGCAGTATCAGTTTGTGCTGCAGTATGTTGTATCTATTATATGATTGTGTTTGTAATGTGCAGGCTGAGCCCTGAGATCTTTCTGAAGAGGCCTGTGGTGGAAGGAAATCGCTGGAGGCTCGACTGCATTTTGAAGCGCAAGGCTGTAAGTCCTCTTGACACTACTCTAGTGCATTTGTCTTATTCACTTATTTACTAACTTATTTCAATACTTATTTAATAACTTATTAAGATCTCCTATGGTGAAAATTAACATTTTTATTGTTGTTTATATGCCTATTCAGTGTTTTAATATGCTTTGAGACAGACCATGTGCAAATTCATAAGTCAGCACCATTGCTTCAGTATTTAATCCTTAAAACTGCAGTGTAAAAAAGATAGTCTCAAAAACATGGTTTGAAATTGACGATGTTATTAAATTAACGTCCATAAAAAAACAAAAACATAAAAATGGATTTACCCACCTGTCCAGCAAAAACAGAGCTACCTTAAAGGGTTAGTTCACCCAAAAATGAAAATTCTGTCAGTATTTACTCACCCTCATGTTGTTCCAACCCCGTAAGACCTTCGTTCATCTTCGGAACACAAATTAAGATATTTAAGATATTAAGATCGCTCCTGCATACTAGTCCATAGGCTTCTTGAGGGACTGGCTCTTGCTGTCCCCGAAAAGTCATTAAAGACATTGTTAAAATAGTCCAAGTGACTACAGGGGCTCAATCTTAAGTTTATCAAACGACGAGAACACTTTTGTGCGCAAAAAACAACAAAAATAACGACTTTATTTCAACTATTTACTTCCTTCTCTATGGGCCTGTAGTCAGTTAACGTAGTGTGATTGCGTAGAGCTACGTCACACGTAGGCTCACTATTGGCCGACGCTGGTCATGTGTGTGTGATGCGTGTGACGTACAATAACAGAAGCTTACGCTATTAAACTAGTAACCTGACTCGCGCAGAGGGAGAAATAAACGAATAGTTGAAATAAAGTCGTTATTTTTGTTGTTTTTTTGCACACAAGTGTTCTCGTCGTTTGATAAACTTAAGATTGAGCCCCTGTAGTCACTTGGACTATTTTAACGATGTCTTTAATGACTTTTCGAGGACAGCAAGAGCCAGTCCCTCAAGAAGCCTATGGACTAGTGTGCAGGAGCGATCTTAATATCTTAAATATCTTAATTTGTGTTCCGAAGATGAACGAAGGTCTTACGGGGTTGGAACAACATGAGGGTGAGTAAATACTGACAGAATTTTCATTTTTT